AGCTGCCCTCGCGCTGGGCAGCTCGGGTTGGCGCTGCCGTGGCAACGAGCTGAAATCCCCGTGGGGAGCGTCGCTTTAGCCACTTCTGCAAAAGGGGATCTCCCCGTCCCGGGAAAACTGGAAGCTATTTTTTTTTCTTTTTTTAAACCGGAACGACCAGTCAGTGTGTTGAGAAATGGTTGAGAGCCTTCGGAATTGATGGCAACCGGAGAGAGAGGAAGGCTTTTTTTCAAGACTAGTGGTTGAAGATGCCTCTCTTTCTCTCTCACTTTTGTCTTTCCGGGTAGTTCCTTAAAAGAAAGAGCCTTTGGAAATCGAATGGTAGCGCATTTATTGCATCCAGCTGAGAAAGCGCTACAGTGAGGGACTGCTTCCAAGAAGTTAATATTAACAGTTTGGAAAGGGGAACTCCTTAAATAGCCAGCTGCAGCATATAGAGCCAATGTGTGAGACTGTTTTAAAATTACAAAGTAAAATGAACGAAAGTAATCTTAAATAATCTTACCAATTTGTAAAAGCCAGGACTGAAGGATCTAGGCCTTTTTTCTATGTTTATCCTGCATGGGGGTTTGAAAATGGATTAAACTTAAGCAGTCATTTAATCAGAATTTCACAATTTGATTAGTTCGTGGTATTTGTCCTGCTATCCCCGATGAATCATTTCTTATTAGAAATACATTGCAAACTTAGTTTCTACATAACCTTATAATGGAGGGTTTTGGAATACTTATTTAAGACCCAAATTCTTGAAGTGATCTTAAGTTAAAAATTTTTCCTTGTTGGTTAGAAAAAAAAATGGCTCCCAACAAGAGATGCAGTAGATAATAAATCCTTATTATATTAATTGAACAAAATGGAATATTTTTAAATGAGTTTGTGACTTAAAGGACAGATACTTCTTACATTTATGTTACAGTAATACTGTCTTACATTTATTTAACAGTATTGATTTTTTTGTGTTCCGTGATCTGATGGGTCCGCTTCTTCCTATATCTCATTATTCCTATCGCTCTCAGATCCATTCCCGATTATAAAACATCGCTTTAGTGTGGGGCAGGGTACAAAGTTGGAAGTAGCAATTGTAGGAAATCAGTGATGCTGATGTACACAAGTAGGATGAATCTGGCGAGAGTCCGTTTCCCCAGGGGAAGTGTGGAATGGTAGTGCAGAATGTGGGAAACGTCAAAGAGGGTCCAGTTCAGCGCTTGTCTTACTCCAGCGTTCTCCCTTCTAAGTGCACCATTAGTGATCAGAAGCTTGCAGTCTTCTCAGGCAGCTCCTCCCTTCATTAGAGAGCTGTGACTCAGAATACTACTCTTCCTTATATGGAGCTGAAGTTGGTTACTTTCTAACTTCTTTCCATTGCTCCTGTTTCTACCTTATGAAATCATATAGAGCAATCCAATCCTTTTTTAGAGCATGGCTGTTTCAGCTCTTTAGATACACACACATGAATTTCTCACTGGCATAGACTATTTTCTCTCTGTATCCCATGCCGCCTTCATAATGTCTGTACGGAAATTGGTTTGAAATTCACGTTTGTTGAATGACTGAATGAAGGTAGCCATCATTTTCTTCGGAAGGCATCGTTTTGTCCTGTGTATAAATCTCTGTTTCCTTGTGTCTTTCCTTTTATGGGGTAGTGTCCAGGCTCATAAGCATCCTGATTGTTCTGTTCTGAATATGTGCCAATAAAGTTAAGATCCTTTGAACACTGTGACCCCTAGAAAGGCACACACTATCCAGCTGTGGTCTGATCAGTCCAGAGGTGAGCAGGACTCCTGTCTCCCATGCTTGAGATACTACTGCTGCTGCAACATGCATCACATTAGCTTTTCTGATATCCACATCCTATTGCGCTTGCTGCCGTCAGATTGAACTAAAACTTGTGGTCAACTAAACCATTGTTTGTCTTACATATGTGGCGATTAAATCACTGTACTTGCCCATTTCACAGTTGTATGTATGTGTTTGGACACAGGTATTAATTTGACCCCTTAGGTATTTTTCCCTATTAGATTTCATTTTATTAGAATGAGCCCATTTTTCTGGCTTATCATTGTGTTTGTAGATCCTGGCTCTTTTCATAATATATTTTATGAGCCCCCTAGTTTCATGTCAACTGCACATTGGATGCCAACGGTAGTATGTATAGTAATCTTCTACATACTCATTCAAGTTATTGGTAAAATTGTTGAACAGGAGAAGGCCACAGATTGAGTCCTGAGGCTTGTCAGTGGACCTGCCCTTCAGGTGGAGAGCAGTTCATTAATGAGCACTTGTTATGTTTATTCAAACAATTGCCTAGCTACATAATTGTACTGTTAGCCATCTTATGTTTATCTTATCTGTATGGGTATAGTAAGAACCTGGTCAAATACCTTGTTGAAATCTGACCTACACACCATTTTTACTGCTTTTTGATGTATGATCTATTTATAAACACTCTTAAAAAATGAAAGGAAATTAGATTAGTATAATTCAGGCTGGTTCCACAAATGCTTACCACTTTCTTTGCTAAGCAATTGGAAGCTATTTTTTAAGTAAATAATCTGAATTTAGAAAAAGATTGATGTCAAGTGTACTTGGATTTTTGTTGGCAACCCTTTCCATTAGAGAGAGAGAGAGAGAGAGAGAGAGAGAGAGACCCACCGACCGACGTTTATTTGCTCTGTTTGCTCTTTTCCAGTCTTTGGCAGCCTTCTGAGTTTCCATGCTTTTTTCACTGGCAGTGATTCAGTGATCCCATTCACAATGCACTTTGTTTCATTTAAAGCACCAAGATACTACATTATTGGTCTCCTCACCTGTACTGGGCAGGGCATCAGTGTCCTGTCCCCACCCTCACCCCACTCCCCCCACTTTTTTTTTTACCCAAATATAATTTTTCTTGAAAAGAAGTAGAAGTTCTAGTTGAGAAGTTCTGTTTTCTTTTTGGCATTCACAAGCATTACATCAGTCCTAAGCAGAATTCCTTTAACCCCTTCCCCAACAATTTTTTTGTTAAAAACGTTTCTTTTTCAGACTAATTTTTTTATTTTGGTTCTATATAGTATTTTTGATGCTGGTTATGAAAACAGTTTGTAACTCGTCTTCCTATAAACCATATTTTTTTACCATATTTTCTTAGTATACTCGTCGACGACTGAAAAAGAACATTTTGTGAAAACGAGTATACACGTTTCTGCCGGGGAAGGGGTTAATTCTGTTGAACATGTATTGAGTACCTTCTCTTTGTGAGACATTGTTATAGACATTAGGAATACAAATATGGATACAGGTGGATCTCACCCTTTAAGCAGACTATAAGGGCATAATTTATGCTGTATTTATTTTTGTATTCCTTTTAAATCACAAATGATATGGGTGAGAGAACGTATCAGCTTGTTCACCAAATCAGAAAATGTGAAAGTGAGAAGATTACCTTGATGCTTAGGAAATTCAGAACAAATAAAGGAAGCTTAGTTTTATATGGTCGACGTTAAACTTGTGAAACTCATAAACTTATGAAACAGAAAAGGCTGAAAATATATGAATTTATAAAAAACTTTTAAATTTATACATTCAGTATATATTTATAGATTCAGTGCTTAATGTATGATTAAAGGAAATCATTCGTGTATTTGGATAATAATAGATTTTTAAGGACCATGTCTGGAAGGGGAAACTGTAATCTGCTGTGTCAGTCACTCTCAAAGATAGATTATTGGCTCTGAATCTGAAACTTTATTTTTTCCCTACTAAGGAGTGGTATTGTGTTGAATTAATCAGTGAAGGATTCTAAGAGGAATTTTTAAAAATATATGTCTTTTAAAAAAAATTGATTTCAGAGAGAAGAAGGGAGAGGGAGAGATAGAAACTAAATGATGAGAGAGAATCATTGATCAGCTGCCTCCTGCACACCCCCCATTGGGGACCAGGCTCAACATCTAGGCATGTGCCCTGACCGGGAATTGAAACAGGGACCTCCTGGCCGAAACCGGTTTGGCTCAGTGGATAGAGCGTCGGCCTGCCTACTGAGGGGTCCCAGGTTCGATTCCGGTTAAGGGCATGTACCTGGGTTGCAGGCACGTCCCCAGTGGGGGGTGTGCAGGAGGCAGCTGATCGATGTTTCTCTCTCATCGATGTTTCTAACTCTCTATCTCTCTCCCTTCCTCTCTGTAAGAAATCAATAAAATATATTTAAACAAAAAAAGAAAAAGAAACAGGGACCTCCTGGTTCATGGGTTGATGTTCAACCACTAAGTCACACTGCCCCCGGCCAGGCCAAAGAGGAGTTTTGAGAGAGAAAAAGACATGGGTTGGTCAATGAAGAGGGATGGGAGAGAATAAGTCATATGCAGAT